GTATCTACCCATAATATGCATTATCTTGTTTTGTTATATTTTTCACAAATAGTCAAATACCAAATAAATTTAGTAGTAGTCAAATACCAAATAAATATGTTATCTTTATCATCAACCATTTTATCTAACACGTTTCGATTTCTTTGCAATCTTTGTATCTCTATCTTTGCTGATTATTTTTATATAACAAAGTTGAACTCTTTCTTTTTTTCTCATGCAACAAGATTTGACAGTTTTTATACAAATATCTGATTTTTTTTCTGGCTTATTGAAATGTCACACAATGTTCGTCATATATAAGATGACATGCAAGAAAGAAAACAAGAAACATGCAAGAAAGAAAACAAGAAACATGCAAGAAAGAAAACAAGAAACATGCAAGAAAGAAAACAAGAAACTTCAGATTGAATCATCATAGCATAGCGATTTAAAGAGTTTGAACATGCATGATTAAGAAGTAAGGGCATCACTTCATTCTAAAAGCAATGAAAAAATAAATAAAAGAAGTAATGCAGAGTGAAACTCACACTCGTCCGGCGACTCCACCGACGATGAGAGACTTGCAGATGTTGAGAAGCCGGTAGGTTTGGCAGCCTCACCGGCAGGCTTTGCTTCGAAAGTCATAGCTTTGGTAAGAGATCGATTTTGAACAGAATGAGAAGAGGAAGAAAAATAAACGGTAACAGAATCGGTAGGAAAATTTCCTCCTTAAAGGGTTTCGCTTTCGCAAAGCTTCTATCATATATATATATATATATATATATATATATATATATATATAATATGAAGAAGAAACATAAACGGAAACAGAATCGGTAGGAAAATCCTCCTTAAAGGTTTCGCGTTCGACCAAAAGCTTTATCATCTTATATATATATATATATATATATATATATATATATATATATTCATGTGCGCGTATACGTAACATTTCTATTTATTTATTTATTTTAGTTGAGTTTTATAACAATATTGTGAACATAATAAATGTATTCAATGTTTAACTCGCTTGTTGTTTAAGTACATTATATATACTTACTAATGTGTCTCAATGTGGTGGTTATCATATTTTTGTTAGATATCTTTTAATTTTTTTATCATACTATATCCACACTTTATTATTATTATTATTATTATTATTAGGGTTAAATATATTTTGAGTATCTTAACTATCAAGGAATTTTGGGTTTAGTCTTTATTCAAAAGTTTTGTTCATTTTAGTCATCTTAGTTTTGAAACTCTTATAATTAGTTCTTAAAATTTAACGGAGTTAACTTTAGTTTGATGTGGCAAACGGCAAGCCCACGTCTGATGCCAGCTTCACTTGTATGTGTGTGTCACGTTGCTTTTTTTTTTTTTAAATGTCACCAACCCAGAACCGCCTACCTTCTCCAAACTCCAAAAACCCTAATCCTCCTCTGTCGTCAGCTATGCCATCGCAAGGTCGCCATCGCAAGGTCGCCATTGCCAAAAAGCTGCCATCAACACCACGAATCCTTCAAGCTCACATTGAACCACCACCACCATGAGCAACCATTCGCTGCCGTCGCGAGTCTCTACAGCCTCCATCATCAGATCGCGCAAGCAACCCCCAAGTTGCCGCGAATTCAGAGCGCGAGCATCCTCCTGCGTGAGCCATCCTTCATCGTCCTTCACCCAGAGCTCCTTCTTCGCGTCGCAACCTATAAAAAGCCACCAACATCATAAAAAAATCAGTCAGCCATCAAGCCACAATATGAAAAACATGCTGGTTAAACGGGTGCGCGTTAACAGATATTCATGAACTAATCCACAGAACAAACACTTTAAACATCAATAAAATCAGAACATAATTTCCTCACATTCAGAATCAGACAAATAGATCCTTTTAACAGATAAAACCAAAACAGTTCCTCCACTTGACACATAACAGCACAAGTACATCACAACATAACCAAAACACAACAAGATAATTAACCAGCCAAGACCTCAGACTGCACCAGAAAGGTGAACCCCATCCCATATTATCCAAGAACAAAACCTTAAGACCAATTTTAGCAAGAAGAGATACCATATATCTACATCCCTAGCAAAGCTACATGCAAAGTAGGATCCAATTAGTGAAGCAGAACAGTCTAGGAACACCAACAAGACAAGAATAAACCAAAAAACACAAAAAAAAAATCAAAGAAGAAAAGCACAGGGTTGAACTTAAAAGACCAAGAGAAGAGTAAAGTAAAAAGGTCAAATTTGCCGGCAAAAATGGGGAAGCATATTTTGGAGATGATCCTGAGAGATTGTGAGAGAATTGTATAAAAAATGGATCTTGAAGAGGAAAAGTGGAATCTGAAGCAGATCGGAAGGAGAGACTTTATCAGCAGTGGAGACTTTATCGGAGGCAGTGGTCGAAGCTGCTCCATTGAAGGGTAGTAAAAGAGAAAGAAAAAAAGAGAAACGTGGCAAGGAAAACTGGCATCATACGTGGGCTCGTCATTTGCCACATCATACAAAAGTTAACGTCGTTCAATTTTGAGGACTAACTATAAAAGTTTCAAAACTAAGAGGACTAAAATGAACAAAACTTTCAAATAGGGACTAAATCCAAAATCGCTTGATAGTTAAGGGACTAAAAACATATTTAACCCTTATTATTATTATAAGTTTAATTATTTTCATAATTCCTATTTATGTTGCGTTTTTTTAAATAGTTTTTTTTTCTCAATTAGATTCCTAAAAGTACAAAATCAGTGGAATTGGGTCTCTGTCGTTAAATTGGGTTAACGTTGTTAAAAATTAAGCTGAGTTGTCACTATGATGTAGAATCATTAATTGATGTGTGCAGGTTACGTGGAATATGTGTAATTAAAAAATGAAAAAGAAATGTTTCTAAGAATAGAATTAGGGGATCACAAAATTAAGGTTCATATAAACGAAATTAGGGTTCGTCATCTTCAACATTTTCCCCAAATTACAAACCTTAGTGATTCTACCTACAATTCTATTTCGATTGCTTGATTTCTTTTTGCTGGTTTGATGCTCAGGGAAGAAGATGAAGCTCACGATGAAGGGAATTGATTTCGCAGGTTAGCGATTGGGTTTGGAAGCGCGATGGCAGCGCGATTCGAAGGGGTTTTGGTTGGTTCTGTGTTTGACTTTCCTTGTAGGTTTTGGTTCAAGATGAATGCGTGACGGCAACCTCATGGTGAGGGAAGAAGAAGCAACTTGCAATACGCGTTTGAACAAGATGAAGGGTTGAGGCTTCTATGCGAAGAAGATTATGCAATTTGGGTGCTTCTGCGTTTTGGATGCTTATGAGTTTCTAGATTGAAGGAGATTGACTTGAGTTTCTACAGGTCTAAAATTTGGGATTTGCGCGAGAAGGGAGAAGAGAACTCATCCAGTGATAATGCAATTGAGGGTTCTGAATTGGAGATTTTTCTAAATTTTTGCAGGTTCATACTCGTTGTAGAGCTCTCGTGGTGCTTGCGATTTTGGTTGCTTCATGACGTGAGGATGAAGAGAATACGAACCTACAGTGATGGTGCACGGACCTTGGCTGGCCATAATGGTTCTGTTGTTGCTTCGCGGGTTTTTGTGATTGTGCGAGGAAGACAAACATGATTTTGCGATAGTGGTAGTTGTATAGCGGCGCATGGAGACTATGGTGGTGTTTTTCGTTGGTTGCCACGGACTGCTAGGGTTTCTGATTTGGGGAAAGGTTGAAGATGATGATGTGACATAATGGAGTGACAACTCAGCTTAATGATTCCATCTCACAGTTACAAATCACCTTAATTTTAACTTCGTTAACCCAATTTAAGGATCCAATTGCACTCATTTTTCATCTTTAGGAATCTAATTAAGGGAAAAAAAGGATCTATTTGAAGGGACTATTAGAATAATTAAACGAGTAATTAATTTATTAAGCATCTAAATGTAAAGTTCATCTCTAATCATTTGTAACATTAGAATATTAAATTTAACGTGAACTTATAATAAAAATTGCTAAGGGTTTTTATTAAAATTCACGTATCACTCTAGAAAAACGGATAGAAAAGATGCTTAGTCTATACACGATATTTTATCCGTGGGAGTTGATTCCAATGGTAGCTTCCATCAAAGAAAATGTAAGATTTGAATAAGTTATCAAAGAGAGAAAGCATTGCGTTTTTTGTTTTCTGAGATAAGCTATCCTTGTTTTAAAAGAAAAAGTGGCTTTACAGAAATTATGACGATGCATGAGAATTTAGAATATGATTGTTCGAATGATAATGATACAACAAGATTAATAATAAGATTTATTGATGATGTAATGCAACTCAAATAAGATAGTCCTTAAATTAGAAAACAAATTCACCTAAGTGGGATGTGTTTGCTTGAACAATGTCTTTGTGATATAGTGACCTTTTATAAGTACATGATAAGATATCCAAGACCATATTGTAGATCCAAGACTTCTAATATTAACCACGATACTCATTGTTGAAAAAATAATAATAATATTTTACATATTTTAGTAATGATTTCGTCCTATTAACACATTAAATGATGAAAAGCTAAAAGAATATATATATTATACTACCAAACAATTAACACGTAATGTTGTTATAAGAGAAGTGGATGAAGTATCTTGACACATAATGTTAAGAATAATTTCTTTTCTGTATGACATGCTATATATGAATATTCTAAAAAGTGTGTTGAGTATAATAAATTATAATGTTTTATAAAAGTATAATTGATGATTCCTATATTTTAATAAAAGTGATTTAATTATAATTTATTTAAAATGTGTGTGTGTGTATATATATATATATATATATATATATATATATATAT